ATTAATGATAATCTAGCTTGAGTCGATCTGTTCCGCATTAAAAGAATATTACAGTGAATTCCCCTTAAGGGCACGGTATTATAAACCTATAAATTATGGGCTATAATATTTATTATAATATAATATTATTACTTTGAAGACCAATGTTTGGAGACTGGTTTCTAATGGCTTTTCCGTTAATACCCATCTGACGCTAGATTTTAAGTAAAGTTTTAAATCAAAGAATCGCCAAAATTTTTAAAAATAATAAAGAAAAATAGCCAAAATTTAAATAGCAATTTATTTTTTTAGAAAAAGCACACATTGCAGTTTGCGATTTTTATGAAAAAACGGCTCGGCGATAACTTATATGTGCCGAAACGTTACGTTCGCTGATATAAGTTTCGTCACATACCTAGTCATATTAAATGATTTTGCCCTACCGTGCGTAAAGAAATTTCACTTAAAAAACATAACATTTAAAAATAAATTTTTAATACAAAAAAACATGTTCACATGCCAAATAACTTTAAAATTGTAGTTGTGCTTAGTTTTATATGTTATCAAGACTTGTTTCTGGATCCGCCCCTAATTAATACTTATGATATTTTCAAAAGGTTAAAACAACAGTTATAGGAACTAATGATAATAGCACTTTACATGGATTCATTACGGCAAACAAAATTTATCGACCTTTTGTGATTTTTTTGCGATTTAACAATCGTGAACGAATTGATGCAGAGAATTAATGGTTGCTCAACCTGAATTGAAACCGCCCACCGGTCTCGGGTCATGGTGGCATTTTTTTCGAAACGCTAAATGGATTTTGAAGCGCGCGATAACGTTTAAATAATTTATAGGACAAAACGGGCCGCACTCGGCACTCTAATAAAGCGGGATCGTTCAACCTTAACTGAGTTACTAGATTCTAGAATCGTTATTAGATAAAATTTCAACGGTTATGTTATGCATACGCAACGTTATTGTTGATGGAATTTTCACACTGAACTATTGTCTCGCGAATGGAATTTAATTTTTTTTAATTGGGTAAATTAATACATTACATAAATATATATGCTACAATATACACATTATACAATAACTACAAAACAAATATCTGGGTCATTCCCAATAATTTTGCTCGATATTTTTTGTAAAATGTATGTTACAGTGAAAAAAATTAGGTAAGGTTTTGAAATACTTATAATAATAATAATAATAATAATAATAATAATAATAATTACTAATTTAGTAGTTATTAGTTGATGCTTTTTCACTTGTACCATGGTTAACCATGGAATTCCATGGTATCCCAAAGTTTAACAGCCAATTCTTATGTAAAATTGTCCCCTGAATCCGAAAATGTCAAAAGTTAAAAAAGTAGAACAGTTTTTGAGATATAGTCAATTTTCCATTTAATATGGAATTGACTATATCTCAAAAACTGCTCCACTTTCATAATTTTTGACGGTATTTTCGGATTTAGGGGACACTTACCATGGTACAAGTGAAAAAGCAGCCACTAATTACTATTAAATTGCTCAATGCACACCAACCATAACGCAACTACTAATGTGACGTCTCCTAGACGATCGTTGTGTTTGATCCACGTATTAAAAAACCAGCATGTTATCAATTTTTTCTAAAATTTTTTCCATAACGGGTAGTATACTGATAGGCCTTAGGTCTTTAAATTGGGTTGGATTGTTATTTTTAGGTGACGGATGAACAATGGCTTGCTTCCAAATATCTGGAAATACACAAACATAAATTGATAATATGGCTGATGTGTTTAATAATATATGAAGAACACATTAAAATGCTTTTTATACCTAGGGCATCAATCCCAATTGCATTAGATTTAAGGTTAAGGAAAATCTTTTGAATTTCGTTCGAAAAATAAAAAGCGTTACTCACATTCTTTTTGTGATGTAAATAGTAATTATGTTTGTCAATATTAGTGTTATTTTTTGGAATTCCATTTACCTAAATATTAGTCATTAATTTTTTATGGGTTAGATAACGCTTGGGGTATAGGTGCACAATTTTTTCGAATGTTTAGAGAATCCAGACATTTCCATAAATTATTTTTGGGTCCGTTCGGAATTTTGTACTCAAAATAGGCTTTATTTCATTCCCACATGCATTTGTGGTAAAATTTCTTAATGTTTTATAATATTTTATATTTATAGATGTATACTATATATATTTTCATGGGCTTTTTATTGTTTTTTCCACGGTGAGACTGCAGACATGTTATTTTGTAAATCTATACATAATGTATCTAACTACACTGTTATAGAATTTTCCAATTAATATGGAATTGACTATTTCTCAAAAACTGCTCCACTTTCATAATTTTTGACGGTATTTTCGGATTCGGGGGACAATTTTACATAAGAATTGGCTGTTAAATTTGGGGATACCATGGTATACCATGGTTAACTATGGTACAAGTGAAAAAGGAGCCACTTATAACTATTAAATTAGTCATTTTTGTTTAATTCATTTTTAGAGGGAGGGTTTGTAATTTTTTTAACAAAGGAAAATATTTTAACGTAAGTAAAATGTAAAGGTAATATGCAATTTTGTAAGCATTTTGTTGATTCCAAAGGTTACAGATTATTTTGTTAATGTTTAATAAATTATTTGTTGAAAAAGTACATGTAATTTAAGGCAGTCAATCAAAACATTTCCCACTAAGAATACGCATCAACAAGTTCAACTGAAGTCAGCGTCTGCAGCTTATGTTTCTGATTACTTTAAATAAAGTGTTCGTAATAACTAACAAGAGTGTTTATAATATATTATCAGAAATCTGTTATTATTATTATTCGGATTCCTTATTATATACCTATTTAACTAGTGTGCAAAGTATCCAAAGAAGATGCCATCACTGGTTTTTAAACAGAAATTAGGGAATACAGTAAAGTGGGTTAAAGTTACTAAATACATCAGTAAGTGTTGTACTGATAATTAAATTGTACCAAATTTCTTTATAGCTTAAGGATTTCAGAATGGTGTGTGTATTACTTAATTCTGTGTATGTTATTTAAGTGTTCATTTATGTGGGGATTTTTATTTTTTTTGTTTGGAAAATTGATTATTAAAGCAACATTTCTTATCAAAATTCTTTTAATTTAAGTTCTCAATTTCTAACAAATACTTTTGTTACTGGGTCTACAAAAAGGTTTGTAAAAATAAAGTTCTTTTAGAAAATCACAAGAATTATGGTTGAATTGATATAGGATTTTGTTATTAAATCTACTACTACTTCAATTAGTTCACAGATTACAGTTGGTTGTAAAATTAAGATAAAGTTATGTGGACCTGGATTAACATAAAATCTGGTTATTAGGTTAAAATTCACAAATATTTTTTTAATGTTCTGATAACAGTTTTTGCTTAATTTTAAACCTTTAGAATATGCGATAGTTTTTATTGTCTATGGTTAATTTGATTTTTTGATTTTTCTGATAATTTTGGACCGATTTTTTTTTAATAAAAATCATTTTTGGTCGTTTTTCGTTCATTTGTCATTTTTCAAAAGTAATTGTTTATATTGATATGTTCAAAACTTTTATTACCAAAAAAATATTTTTTATCGCCGTTTTATGCATTTTTATACTTTTTCATAAGCAAAAATTAATGACCTCTCTAGAGATTTTTACCTACCTTGATATCTCTCTAAAAATAAATTAGTCAAAAATGACTAATTTAATAGTTATTAGTGGCTGCTTTTTCACTTGAACCATGATTAACCATGGAATACCATGGTATCCCAAAATTAAACGGAAAATTCTTATGTAAAATTGTCTCCTGAATCCGAAACTGTCATCGAAATTTAAAAAAGTAGAACAGTTTTTGAGATATAGTCAATTTTCCATTTAATATGGAACTATTAAATTAGTCATTTTTGACTAATTAATTTTTAGAAAGAATATTATTTCTTTGTTGGAAAAAAATAAACGAAAAGTGACCAAAAATGGTAAAATAATTTCTTTTACTCTCTGTTACTCCATCCGTAAATTTCGAAGACCATATTTACATTGCAACTCTTTGTAAATAGGGTTAATATAAGGTGACCAACCGTCCTGGTTTATCCAGGACAGGTTCTGGTATTTGCTAATGAGTCCTGATTTCAATTGTGTACTGGTTTTGTCCTGGTTTTGCAGATTTGGTCCTGGTTTATACTAATATAACATTAAATAAAACCAATTTTGTTTATTTTTTGGAAGAGCGAGTTGTGTCCTGGTTTTTCGTTTGTCACCTTATGTTAATGTAATAACCATATTTTCAAAGAGTTGCAATAAAACAAGCATACGACATTTTTTAATAATTTAATTATAATTTTTGATTGTTTAAATGCTGAAATAATAAAAAATTAAATAAAATAAATACAATATTTTTAATTACAATCAGGAAATATTCAATTTATTTTTTTAATATAATCCTTAACAATTAAGTTCATTAAACAAGCTTCTCTCATATAAAAAACGGTTATAATTAAATTATTAGTTTAGTTAAGTATTTTCTATTTAAATTAAAATATTTGCGTATTTATTTTAGTAAAAGTTTTCTTTTTAGTCATTTTATACAAAACTAAATTAAATTTCGAACTCATAAAATTTAATATATAAAGTTTTATTTAATACAAAACTTTTGGAGTTAATAGGCGCTCAATGAAAAATTAACATTTAGCGAAAAGTTTGCCAAAGTTATTAAATTTACTTTTTCAAGGCATTCAATACTGCCATGATTAAAAAATATAGGGGAGTTTGTATTAATTATTATTAAATTAAATTTCAAAAAAGTTACATTGCCCTGATAAACAACTTGTGTATGAAATTTAAAATTTGATGAATTACTAAATATTTTTTTTTTGTTACCTACCTATATTGTTTTGTCAACCTCCTTAATAATAACCTATGGTATGCACTTTATATTAAAATTATGGTCGTATTATTAGTTGGTTTGGCAAATACATATGTTAAGTAAATTAATATTTTTAATTGTTTTAGGACAGCAAACTAAATCCAGTCATAGCTCAAGCTTTAGGTAGACATGCTGCTAAAGTTTTGTCTAGGCCTGCTGATAAGTTGAAAGATGACTACGATGAGAGTTATCCTGTACAAAAAGTAATTAAATATAATATAATATATTTCATGTTAATGTAAACTTTCTATTTTTAGGAAAACCACAATTACAATAAAATATTCGACCAAAACTACAATCAAAATTATGATCAAAATTACGCCTTTGCCTATAAAGTAGTGGACGCAATTACTGGTGACGACTTTTCACATCGTCAATCTCAAAATGACAAAGCAACAAAAGGCGAATATCGTGTAAAACTACCGGATGGAAGACTTCAGGTTGTGTCTTATACGGCTGATCACGATGGTTACAAAGCTGAAGTAACTTATACAAACGATCATTATTCTCAAAACATTCTCCCACAAGACAATGTACAGATCCAGAAAATTCCGGTTAGACAAATACAACCACACCAACAAAAATTATACACCAATTATTATGATGTTAATCAGCCTATTAAACAAAACCAAGTCGTATTTGTAACAGAGGAACCACCTCACCAGGACATAGAGTATAGCAACTACGTAACTCCTCGACCTGGAGATATTTTCCTTCCTCAAAACATCGTGGATAAAGGGGCAATCCAACCAAAAGTCCAAATAATAACAACAAATCCAAGAGACTATCATCAAAGCAGTTACATCCCTGTCACAGTCGCCCCACCTTTATATTACAGCACCCAGAGCCCGATCCCTTACACGACACCAGCTCCATTTATAGATACACAAAGCAATTATATTGCATCCACAATATCCCCTTTGGTTATTAACAATGGTAATCATGGACATATTGTTCCAAAAACTAGGGAAGATTACGAAATCCAAAATAAAAATTTCTTCTTGGTCACTACGGTAGCCCCTTCTACTGTACCACCCAATGAACTTATTATTAATGGTGCTAGATACTCGTTGCTTAAAGGACATCGTTTAGCTAATTTAAACTATAAAAAGAAATAAATTTATTATTTACCCCTTTGGTGTTATAGTTAATAAACCAAAGACTATTTATAAGCAATTTCTTTAAATAATTTTCACAGGCAATGCGAGTAAAATTTTATTAGTGAATTAACCTAAAAGTTACCATTATTTAAAATGTATTTTAAATTACCTTTGTTTTGATAAAAGTACCCACTTATCTACCTTATTATAATTAAGATTTCATTTAAGTTAAAAATCATTAATTATGTATATTAACATTATTTATTTTGAACGTGCTATGTAAAACTATACAGGGTGTTAAAAAAAGAGTGTAAATTATTTCTAAGGCATATTGAAGAGCCAAAAAGAAGACGAAAAGTTCTTTGGCGTTTTTCGATCTGATGAACCCTTAATTAGTTATTAATTAAATAAAGTTGCCAATCACAGGCTTGCTTTAGCAGAATGAGTAGAGATGCGACAAACCAAAAATAATGTCAGAAAAAATTAACAAAAACACTGACAGTGACAGCTATACAATTAAGGTCAATTCACACCAATATCGGACTTCTACAAAAAGTTTTTTAATTTCTAATTTTAGTATTTAAAAATCTACAAATTGATTATTAAAAACTTTTTTATTTGTATTTAAATTAGGTGCTGAAAATATGTTCAGCACCTAAGTTGATCATATTATGAGCTTCCATATGGTTTTTATTGTTAATTAATACACATTACATTTTAGAATACTAAAATAAAAAATGAAATAAAAATTATAAAAAACACATTTTTGTAGAAATCCGATAACTATGAACTATCGTAGTATGATTTGACCTTAGTTGTATAGTTATCACTTTCATTGTCAGTGTTTTGTTTTTAGGTTAAGTTTTCTATTTTTTTTAGTTTGTCTTAGCTCCACTTATTCCTATAAAGCACACCTGCGATTGACTGTTTTATTTAATTAATAACTGACGCACCCATGGGTGCGTCAGATCAAAAAACGCCAAAGGACTTTTTGTCTTTTTTTTGTCTCTTCTATATTTTATACTCTTTTTTTTTTAACACCCTGTATATTTTAAATTTTGATATTATTGTATTTCGTACTTTATTTACCCTTTATAGTTTTGTATTTTTTTTAATAAAAACCCTAAAGAAATCAAGAAGGAAATTTTTATTTACACTATACTACACGTGTCAAAGCTTCAAAAAAATATTTTAAAAGGGCATTATAGCATCACATCTACAGTGTGTATTAAACCAAATAGCTACAGTAAAAATATATCCCACCTCCTCTCAAGCGCCGAGAAATGGTGGGGAGTGGTTGCTTTACGAGAGTCTAGGATAAGTTATCCTGGATAACCAAATCTCTCGCGACAGTCTATAATTGCCTTGAAACCAATTATTAATAATTATTTATTTAATAAGTTTAAAATTTTTAAAAATAGGCACCCAGAGAACAATGGTGAGTATTCATACGCATGGGTCTTTGGCCGCAGAGGCATAGCCTATGCCGCATAGGACTCTATGGTAGCCAAAATGAAATGACGATCGAGAAGCAATGAACATTTTAAATTGTGCAAGTGTAGAGCAAATCCCTGCACAATCTACCAGACAACTTACTGCTCAGTTTGATATTTCTAATAAAATGGTTTCCAAAATCCCAAACATGGGTATAATCCTTATAAATTGAAGAGGGGCGACGAGCAACACCTAGGCGACATACTCTCTAAAAATGAATTAGTCAAAAATGACTAATTTGATAGTTATAAGTGGCTGCTTTTTCACTTGTACCATGGTTAACAATGGAATACCATGGTATCCAAAAATTTAACAGCCAATTCTTATGTAAAATTGTCCCCTGAATACGAAAAGGTCGTCAAAACTTAAAAAAGTGAAACAGTTTTTGAGATATAGTCAATTTTCCATTTAATATGGAATTGACTATATTTCAAAAACTGCTCCACTTTCATACTTTTTGACGGTATTTTCGGATTCAGGAGACAATTTTACATAAGAATTGTCTGTTAAATTTTTGGATACCATGGTATTCCATGGTTAACCATGGTACAAGTGAAAAAGCAGCCACTTATAACTATCAAATTAGTCATTTTTGACTAATTCATTTTTAGAGAGTACATCAACGCATGGCATTTTGATAATATGTAATGAATAAGGCGAACAAGGATGATAATTTCACATTCTTTTTCCAGATGAGTCATTACATGGTCGTGAGAGAGGGGGAAACAACCATAAAGTGTATGCTGCTCGAGTACAGGTCCCCTTGAAATTTAATGTTTGGACTTGAATTCTTGGAGACCATATTATTGGGCCATTTATTTATTATTATTGATGTTAATCTTAATGGGCAAAAGTATCTGAAGCTACTTTAAAATCAGATTGTTCCGGCACTTTAAAATTTACCAATTATTTTACAAACCATATGGTTTAAACAAGACAGGTGTCCTGCACATGATACCTTGGTTGTCAGAGAATATTTAAATGAAAACTTTCTGAATCGCGTAATATGTCGTCATGGAAATATTAATTGGCCTCCAAGATCACCGGATTAGATTCCGTATGATTTTTTCTTGTAGGAATACGTCAAGTCGAAACTTATGGTTTTCAAGAGCGCAGGGCTAATAATCCTGAGTAGTTAAGGGTGAAAATATTTAATACATGTATGCATGGGGAGATGCATTGGGAGATATTATTCCTGAAATGCTGTTTAACGTGCACAGGCTTGTTTAATTATAACTATAACTTTAAAATAAAATCATTGTTTTTTAAAAATAATTTTTATTTGAGAATTTATATTTTTAATATTTAATGAATTCGTTTGTTGTAATTTAATGCATTGTTTAAAATTCCTTAAGTTTAACTTAATCGCAACGATTTTTTAAAAATACGGGGAATCTGACAATAGGCAACAAAAAATAAGTCAAGCAGGCCTGGAAATCAGAGTTGCTTACCATAAATAAACCCTTGGTGGTTTTAACCACGTGATTCCTACTTTGTTGGGACTACAAATAGCTAAAAGCGTTATGGAAGTGTCGTGTCTGATTTGTTATAATCCAAATTTTCTTTGTTTTAGGTAAGTTAAGTTGTAAGTTCCAGCTTTAACATTATATTAGACGTAATTAGGCAAGTTTGAGTTAATTGTAGCAACACCACCGCGTTTAAAATAAAAAATCTTGTAATTAACCGTATCGGCTTTTTTTATATGTTTACCAAAAAAAAAACGTTTTACAATAAAAGAAATAAAACCCTTTGGGTTTTATCAAAACTTGCTTTAATTAAACAATCCTTATATGGATTGTTTAATTAAAGCAGGTTTTGAAACAATTTAAATAGTTTTAAAATGTTTTGATTAAAAACAACGTAAAAAAACGGAAGTTTTTAACGTTGTTGGCATACCTTTAAACTTCTAGGTGCAGTTTATTTAAAAATCGATTAATTAAAAATTGAATAAGAAGAAAAAATTGAACCTACACCTCGCCAAAGTTTTTTGTTTTGAGTGCATTCCACTAACTTCAAATACCGACAGACAGCTGTTTCGACCTATATTGGGTCTCATCAGTGTCGGGCAACTTGGGGTAGTGGAACCCACTCAAAACAAAAAACTTTGGCTAGGTGTAGGTTCAATTTTTTCTTATGAATATTACCAGTAATGGGTCAAGAACGTTTCTTAAAGATAGTTACCTTAATATTTATTCTGCTTGGGCTAATTCTAGATTTCTTTAGGCCATATTAGTATCTGTAATACAATTGCTGTGTGCACTCTCGGTTGCATAGTATGTACCGATTGCGGCAAAGGACACGTCGCGACGTTCTTTATGAAACTTTCTTGACCCATTAATGGTAATATTCATAAGAAAGAATTGAACTACACCTCGCAAAAGTTTTTTGTTTTGAGTGCGTTCCACCAACTTCAAATACCGACAGCTGTTTCGATCTATATTGGGTCTCATCAGTGTCGGGAAACTTGGTGTAGTGAAACACACTCAAAACAAAGGACTCCCTGAGCTTATATGCTCGTCGTTTGACGGTTTGGATCACCTGATGTTCTTACATCTCGCCTCTGTTGGCTTAGCAACGATATGAAAAACACATTAAAACCATTTAAATAAACCAACTTGAATCTTATTGACTCTATTGTGCGTGACATGGAGAGATGAATGACCTCTAGTAAAAATATTAAAAACGTATCAATATTGATAAACTTAAACATTTAAAAGTTAGTAAAAAATACAAACAAATATAAACATTCAAAAACAGAAAAGAAAATCTGTAGTTTTTGTGCAGGCAACATAGTTTTGGCGAAAAGAAACTGCTTGCTGCCGGAAAATGCTAATAAATTGATTTTTTTACATCAAAACTCAATAATTCAAAAATAGGAAGTTTTGTTATTATCACTTAACTATAATTTATTTATATGTATTACATTTACTTTAACATATTATATTGTAATGTAATTTTACATTTATATACTTTATTTTGTACAGTTTATCTTATTTTATTTATTTGATAAATTGATATTCATTATTTAATATGGTGAGACTTTGTTTCAAGTTCGGCATATCAAAGGAGTTTTTTAGTTAGGGAACTTTGTTGACGGGTTCTGGTAATAGGTCGGTGGATACAGCTTTGCTTTGACAGGCGCACCCAATTGCCAATAATGCCAGTTAACCAATTTAGACAAAGAATGGTTAGATAGGGATATTGATATAAAGTTGTTGTTTTATGGTCTTATTATATTATTATTGATAATTATTTTATTTTACTATATTTGATTTGCACTGACATAATTCTATTACTTTATAATACCTGATTGTATTTATTATTTATGACTGTACATCAATTTTATTGCATAACTCTTGTCCACCACTATACCACTTGTTATTTATATATTTTATTTACCACTACCATTTATTATTGTTGCTTCTGACCTAAGTTATATTATACTTTATGTTTCACATTATTGTTGTTTGTTGCTGTACATTGATAATTATTTCAATGTGTATTTGCTTTTCTACACCGTCCGAGCCTACTCTTTAAGTAGGTGAATAATCTTGGCAATATGATAATATAATTGATTATATTTATATTGATTACTTTAATTTTGTTGTATTATTTATAGGTATTGTTGAGATGTGCGACATATATGCATGTCTGTATTGTATATATGGGTTTTTTAAGGTTTTACCTTATTAACTTAAATCAATCATACTTTTGAAATACAAATGTTTTTATTTATATTATTAATGTACAGTAACAATAATTAACTCTTGTATTAATTGCCTTTATTAATAAACTTATTTTAATTTAATACTTTTTCTTTGCTTTTAAATATCTTTTTAATTGCTCAAGTACTTACGTATCCAGAACCATATTCACAACAAAAAGGGGTTCTTAAATGTTAACTTAATTTCTTTAAACTAGACGATCACGTGATTTGGCCAAAGGTAGTTTTTTGTGGTTTTAATATTCTTTTTAATTATTAATGTGTGCCCCCCATGCCCCGTTCGTTACATTAGTTACGAAAAGACGCTGTCAATAACTTATACAAAAATTTACGATTTTCGATGGATAATCTGTAAGAAAACTATCCAAGTGTGTAAATAAATGAAGCAGTTAGTAAGCTACCGAGTTGTTTCCAAAAAGTCCAAGGAACAGTATGCGAAGTGGTACTGCAACTCGAATGTTTAGATTAAGATACACAACCACTACTTTTGAATACTTCTGACAAGGATTCAGCTCTCCGAAAGCTGAATGCTTCCTAGAT